GCATTTTTTTTTACATCAATTTTTTTTTTTTTTTTTTTTTTTTTTTTTTGCGCGCGCGCGCGCGCACACGCGCTGGGGCTGCCCGAAACCCTGCCCAGGGGTCATGCCCGACCAGGCACCCGGGAAAACAGCCTAGATGGAGAGTTCAAAAACGTAGAATCGTGTCGAACTGGAGGCGTGGTTGCACTTACTCGCCGCTATATTTCTTCCACAGAAAAGTTTTCAAAAATTGTCTGCCCGATCTCCACTCGTGAAGCCGTGCACTCGCCAAGAAGTTGCTTCTTTGTGGAAGTGTCCGAAGGACGACCCTCCACAAACCTCCATTGACAGGCAGGGAAACCCAAAACACTCGCCACAACTTGTGTCGACCGTGTGGCAAGCCTCTGACACAGTTTTCATTCCCCAAGTTCGGCGAGGAAGTGCGACCAGAGGCGCCTACTCACCAAACGTGGCGTTTGGTGAGTGGCGCAACTAGGCCCAGAAGCAGATGCTTAGGGCCTCACTCCACTGCTCAGCACATAATGCAGAAAAGACAATAAAAGTTATGGCGATGTATCTTTCTATGTTCTAGCAGAGGATTCGTTCACATTTCGAACATTTGGGTGAGTGGTGGATTGAGGCCCTTAGGGCGTCGCTGCACGGGACAGGAAACGAAAAACGAAACGAGTGCATCTTCCTGCAGAAAATGGCCAGGTTCATCGGTTTGCTATAAGCAGTAACGAGTGCATTTTGCCACCTTTCGTGGGCAGATGTGCTCGTTTCGTTTCGTTTCGTTTCGTTTCGTTTCGTTTCGCTTCGTTTCGTTTCGTTTCGTTTCGTTTCGTTTCGTTTCGTTTCGTTTCGTGTGCAGTGCGGCGCGACCGTTACTGAAGTTGCCAATCTGTTAGAGACTTCAAATGAACATTGTCAGAGATTCACCGACCAGATTTTATTTTATTTTTCTGACAATGGGATATGAATACCCCAACCGTCTCTATTAATCATTACTCCAATCCCGAAGACCAACRAAATAGGACCAGAGTCCTATCGCGTTATTCCACCAGATTTTGTTTTTCGTCATTTGAGAAAAATTATGCAGAATGAGCCTTGGTCCACTACGCTCGAAACGTGCAAAACAAGAGTGAATATTTCGATAGAACACGGAAAGATACACCGCCATGATTTTTGTCTTTTGCGCATGTTGAGAGTAGTGGAGCGAGGCCCAAATTGAATGTTCGGTTTACGAGGAAAAAATGCCCTTGTAATTTCGTAAACGCATTTATCATTGTGTTTGCAACTTTGCATGTTATTTCTGAACAATTTCTGCATCTATGGTGGTGTGAATGGATGTGGGTTGATTTCTGCAGGTACCCGGTTCAAGCCGGCGATGCAATTTGGATGGCTCCCTTTGTACCACAATGGTATGTGGGATATCTCTCCCTCTCCTCCCCTGTTGCCCACCCCCTCGCAACTCCCCTGTCCCTTCAAATCATCTTCCCAGACCCTTCAGCCCCTTTTTTTCCTCCTAGGCACCCTTAGCCCCCTCTTTTTTTCCTCCTCCACACCCTTCACCCCC